TATACGCACAAAAGGGTGGGGTTAGCAAACTAGTATGCTAGTCAAAGGTAGCCCATTTGTTTTTGTAAACAAAGTTTTATTGAGACACTAAAGTGTGACCATTTGTTCTGTGGCTGTTTTATGTTTCTTCTTTGTTTATAGTCAAAATAGAGCTTAGAAAAAACTTCAGAGGCTTGCAACAGACTCAGATCTACTGGTAAGTGGTCAAATGTAATATGTTCATTGTATGCTAATAAATACATGTTTTTGGAACCTCTTATTTTTAGGTCTTACTTTTGAGGAGCGGGATATCATTGAAGGAGCCTTCCGTCAAGGTCTCATTCGAGTCCTGGCAGCAACTTCTACTCTTTCTTCTGGGGTGAATTTACCTGCACGTCGTGTGATTATTCGGACCCCTATTTTCAGTGGTCGCCCTCTAGACATTCTTACTTACAAGCAGATGGTTGGTCGTGCTGGCAGGAAAGGAGTAGACACAATGGGTGAGTTTGAATTTAATTGTAATAGCATTGCTGAAGGACAGTGTCAGTTTTTTGAAATTTGATGAGTACCTGGCAACCTGTTTCTCATGTGCTACATATCTCTATTGGCGGTGTACTGATGTCATCATTTTGTCTTGTGTGTGTGTGGTTTTTTTTTTCCTCCCAGTACTGGGGATTGAACTCAGGACCTTGTACTTGCAAGGCAGGTGTGCAACCACCGAGCTAAATCCCTGGCCCCAGATGTCATCATTTTGGAGTCACTTAATAGTTACAGTGAGCATAAGTTATTATTATTATTATTTATTTTTGGTACCAGGTATCGAACTCGGGACCTTGCACTTGTGAGGCAGGCACTGGAACCACTAAGCTAAATCCCTGGCCTGAGCATAAGTTATAATGTGCATATATCGTTAACTATTGGTTTTCTACTAATTTAAAATTAAACTTTTCTTTTGCATTCTATACAGTGAAATGATTCAGTGTTTATAAATGAAGATGACTTCTTACTACATTTGTTGGGAGATGATTTTTAATTTCCAAGTATAGTCTACTCTTTAGCACTATTTAATTTTCATGCACATTAGTTCTGCTTAGGCATCTGGTCTTGGAGGTCAGATTGGGATGCTAAGAGCTGAGAAGCTTTCTCATAGTTTGAGAACAAGAACTTCATCATATACCATCTTTTTTCACTCCAAATTAGTGCTGGTTTTGAAAATACCTTTTTAATTTCATACCTTGTACCAGCAAGTAATGATAATATTACCAGCAACCCAAACACAAGTTTTGACTTAAGAATCAAGAGCCTTGTTTGAATTAAATGTTGAGAGAAGCAAGCAGTATTTTGAATGTACTATAGCATTTGTGTGACTAAATTGTTAGGTGTTTCTAATGTTAAAGAACCTTGGGAGAAACATTTTCAGTGACTTCATATTTCTTCTCTAGGACATAACTGACTCCATTATACTAGATTTGTAAAAACCCCCCCCCCAAAACCCAACAGAATAAAAATGAAGCAGAGTTCTGTAACTACTGAAGAGAAATTAGGAAATCTAGCAAAAAAGGAAAGTGTGAATGGGAAAATTGGTAGGATATTCTTGGTGGAACCTGAGTAGGTACTGAGGGAAGTGAGTTTTAGAACAACTTGACCTGACGTGTGCTCCCCCACACAGCTGGTCCTCATTATCCACAGAGTGCACAGAATGTGAATTCGCCCCCTTACTGGGGTTTATTCAGAAGTTCAAAAGCAGAACCTGTTGGGCTTTCACAGATATGCACAGAGCTGTAAAAACTTTGAGGCTTTCCAGGTGTACTTCCTGCTGAAATCAAGTCTGCCTTCTTGTTTTGACTCATCAACTGTAAACAAGTATCCTCACAGGACCTACTTAGTGCTAGCTTTTTCACAGTTTTGTGCATTTGTTGGCAATTTCACTGTTTAAAATGACTCCCAGGCCTGATGTGGTGGCGCACGCTTGTAATCTCAGCACTTGGGAGGCTGAGGCAGGAGGATTGCTGGGAGGTGAAGGATAGCCTGAACTACAGAGCAAGACCCTGTCTCAAAAAAAAAAAAAAAATGACCCCCTAGATATAGGGCTGAAGTGCTATCCTATGCTCCATAGTGCAGTAAGTCTTTGATGTGCCTTATGAAGAAAATATATATCAGTTGAACTTTGTTCAGACATGAGTTATATTGCTGTTGGTTGTGAACTCAGTGTCTTTAAGCAGAAACACATAAATGAAGTGTTTTTTTTGGTACCGGGGATCGAACTTGGGACCTTGCACTTGTGAGGCAGGTGGCGGGCACCACTGAGCTAAATCCTCAGCCCCTAAATCCCTCCCCCCCTTTTTTTGTACCAGGATTGAACTCAGGACCACCTTGTGCTTGTGAGGCAGGCAAGGTGCTACTGAGCTAAATCTCTGGCCCTGAGGTGTTTTTTTTAATACTGGGGATTGAACCCAGGGCCTTCACATTGAGTTAATAATAATTAAAAATTATTATTTTGAGGCAGAATCTCACTAAGTTGTCCAAGGTGGCCTCAAACTTGGGATCCTCCTGCCTTAGTCTCCCCAACTGCTGGGATTATAGGTGTGCACCACCATGCCTGGTTTACTTGTATATTTTTTTAGGATACAAAGTGATACTGTGATATATGTATACAGTGTAGAAGGGTTGAATTAAGGTAACTAATATATCCATCACCTCAATCATTCATCTTCCTTTAACCAGTATCTCTCCCTTCCTCCATTCCCAGTCTCTGGTAACCCCTTTTCCTCTCTGCTTCTAAGTGTTTGGTTTTCTTTTTTCCTCTTTATTTTAAAAATTATTTTTATTATTTTTAGATTCCTCAAATAAGTGAGAACATGTGGCATTTGTTTTGTGTGCTTTGCTAATTTCACTAGCATATCATATCTTTCAAGTTCATCCACGTTGCTGCAAATGACAATTTTTTTTTCTGTTTTATATTTTATTACATCAATGACTTGAAAATTTTATTTAATTTCAGAAAATATTGGAAATAGAAAAGTGAATTCTGCAGAATTTCACAAATAAAATCTTCCAGTTACCACTAACAAATGTTATCATTCAGTGGTTAAGCAATTATAATTCTATGAACATTCATAACAATAAATTGCTGAAATAGGAAATAGGCAAAGAGAGACATAAAAATATAACTTACAACAGCATTATTACAACATACTTTCTTTAAAATTTCAACGTGGAGTACTACTCACCATAAAGAATGAGAAACTAGAGACATTTATAGGTAAATGGATGCACATTGAGGTGATACTCTTCAGTGAAATAAATAGGACACACATGTGTAAATAC